GAAGCGCCCATATGTGATCTTCACTCTGTAAATGTTGATGTATAGACAAGAATGCTGAATCCAAAGAAGACAAGACGTTTGCTCAGGGGCAGGCATTGTGGCGTAGCAGGTAGACCCATCACCTGCAATGCCAGAATTCCACAGAGACACCAGTTCATGTACCAGCTGCTCCACTTCCAATCCAGCTCCCAGCTAATGGAAAAAACAGTAGATGATGTCCCAAGTATTTGGGCCCCAGCCACCCAGTGAGACCCAGATGAAGCTCCTGACTCCTGGCTTCCACCTAGCCCAGCACTGGCCATCTTGGAAATGAACCAAAGGATAAAATAAGTCTCTCTCCAATCCCCTCTGTCTCTCTCAAACTCTGGCTTTCAAATAAATGAATAAATCTTTAGGGGGAAAAATAAAGAAATTTGTTCAGTATCATTCTGTGAAGGTTAGGATTCAGACTCAATCCTCCTGCTTGGCGTGAATATCCAAAGTCTACTGTTACAAACATAAATCAGGAAGGCAGTGAATTTAGTGATTGAGATGCTCAAATCCTAGGGTACCTGTCTGTGTTCCAACTCTCAGTTCTGCCTCTGACCCAGATGCATGCTATTGTGCAGCCTAGAAGGCAGCAGCTGATGGCTCAGGCACTTGGGTCACCCATGTGGGAGACCCAGATTGAATTCTCAGATTCCAGCTAACGCCTGGCTCAGCCTAGACATTGCAGGCAGTTCTCTCTCACTCTCTCAGATAGATAAATAAACACCTAATATTAAAAAAAAAAAAGACTTGGAAGCAGGAACTCAAATACTTGTTCCTGTATGTTCACAGAATTACACCAGTGGCACATCAAGCACCATGTTTTACAGTGTGGTAAAGGCTATAAGACTACAGGGACAACAGTGAGCTGAGCATGGGAGTGAACTCACTTCCAGCTCAGTGGACTGCACTGGTCCCCACAGGGAAAATAATACTGATTTCAGCATCCTATGGATCCAAATAGGTCCAGGTGGCCCTCAGACCTAACAACTAGCAGGTTCCAGCAAGATCAGCACCACCAACAACCTAGTTATTTAGGAATCTGATGCTTCCCTAATCCTGGCAACTGCTCAAATTGGAAGTGAGAGAAAGACTGTACAGATAATTGTGCAACTTCATCAAAAGATCACAAGAGGTGGAGAGTAGTATGCCAGGAGTTGGGGCTATGGAGACCAAGATGGAAGTCTAACATAAGAGCCCAGACCTGGAACTCACTGGAGGGAGTGACTGCAAAAAGAAATGGGAAACAGAATATAGGAGGGGCACAGAACTCCCAATAAGGTTGACCAAAAGCAATCGTCACCACAACACATGATAATGAAGCTCTCTTCAGTCAAACATAAGGAAAAGATTCTTAAATGTGCTTGTGAAAAAAAAAATTGACATACAGAGGAACGTCAGTCAGACTCACAGCTGACCTCTCACAGGAAACTACAGGCCATAAGAGAATGGAGCAACATATTCCAGATTCTAAAAGCAAAAAATTGTTGGCCCAGAATAATTTACCCAGCAAAGCTTTCCTTTGTCTTTGAAAATGAAATAAAATTCTTCCACCATAAAGAAAGGCTCAAAGAATATGCCTCTTCCAGATCTGTCCTACAAATGATACTTAAGGATGTTCTCTTGACAAAGAAAAGTAATAGCACCCACCAAAACCAAAGGCGAATGTGAAGAACATCCCAGTAAAATAACAACAGAATATTAAATCAAATAATGAACAACCGACTACTAAAATCACAGGAACAAATTACCACCTATTCATATTAACCTTGAATGTAAATGGCTTTAACTTATCAATCAAACATCACAGATTACTAGACTAAATTAAAAAAAAATCTATCTGTTGCCTACAGGAGACATATCTCACCAACAAACATCAACGGATACTATATTTCATGGATTTTGATTTTTTGTTTGTATTTTTATTTCTTCAAAACAGTTTTTTCACATGAAATTCTTCACTGACTTATATGTCACACAAGCATCATTTTCTTTAAAAAGGTTCTTGATTTTCTTTTTCATTTCTTCAGCAACACGTTAGTCATTCAATAGCATGTTATTTAACTTCATGGTGTTGTAAATTTCTGTTGTCCTTCCTGGTGTCAATTTTATTTTGAGGCTTCTCATTTAAGGGAATGTATAGTAACTGTGTAATGAAGACTATCAAATCCAGATTTGAGGATACAATGCAGCATGCATTTCTACTTCCAGATCAATGATGGACTCCCAATGAAAAGGTTAACTATATCTTGACAATAGGATGCTGGACTCTCTGCCATTGTCTATGCTTGCAATGAGGGACATATGACTGTTTATGAAGAACTATACTATTGTAACAATACAGGCTAAATCAGTTGAGGGAAAGGGAAAAATCAGTGTGTTTGGAAAATTCCTCTGAAATTAGGGTGGGGCTGGAGGCCACACTGATCAGAAACTTAAACCTTAGGAAATAGAAGGAAGCAAGCTGATTATCGTTTCCTGGGACCTTTGAAATGGAAAGTAGCCTGGATCACAAAATCGCCATAGTTTGAAAATCATGGCATTGTGGTTTGGCCTGTAATCAGTAGTTCCCATTACAGATTATTATTTTTTTTTCTTTGCCTCTACTGATTTATACAGTACTCTTCACACGTTAGGGTTAGTTTTTTTAAGTTTTTTAAAATTCTGAAGGAGAAGGAATCAGCATGATGGCTAAACTGGCATGGCAGCCTAGTGGCTAAAGTCCTCAACTTGCACAGGCCAGGATCCCATATGGGCGCTGGTTCTAATCCTGGCGGCCCCACTTCCCATCCAGCTCCCTGCTTGTGGCCTGGGAAAGCAGTCAAGGACAGCCCAAAGCCTTGGGACCCTACAACCACGTGGGAGACCTGGAAGAAGCTCCTGGCTCCTGGCTTTGGATTGGCTTAGCTCCAGCCATGGTGGCCACTTGGGGAGTGAATCAGCGGGCAGAAGATCCTCTTCTCTGTCCTCCTCTCTGCGTATCTGATTTTCCAATAAAAATAAGTCTTAAAAAAAAAAAAAGGAGTTCATCAGAGGCAAGATAATGGGCATGGATGAGTGGCAGCATGGGCAGTAAGGAAGTGATCTGCCTGTTCAGGAAATCAACAATGGAATCTTGAGGGCTGTCTCCTCTGTGACTGGCTGCTTTCCCTTCGTGTCACGATTCCAAAGTTCATCCATGGAGCAGAAAGCATCAACACTGCACTCCCTTCAGGAGCTGAATAATATTCCATTGTACGAACATACCATTTTTATGTTGAGCCTTTTGTCATCAGATGGACACTTCTCTGCAGGTTCGCTGATTAACCTGCTAGTTTCTGGTAATCTTGAAACAAATGAATGAGTGGCAGGCATAAACAGAGTTGCCCACAGGTGTCACGATGTAAAGCCAAGATTGAAGCCGGGCAACCAGCGTTTGTATTCTAACCATCAGGCTCACCTGCCCTTGTAGTCCAGTGATTCTCTTCTTGTCACAGATGAAGGTGACTGTCACTCAGTTCTGGCAGGGATGTGGCATCTAACGATGGGGCCCTTTGCAAAGGTGCGGGCAGAGCTAAGACAACGCCTTTGGATATGAGCTGCCTGGGGCGGCCAACAGTGAAGTGCCAACAGAGCCCTGTGACCCCTCCTCCAAGCCTGAAGCCTCACCAGCAGGAAGCTAGAAGGGACTGGAGGTTCACATGCAACCTACTGTGCTCCTGTGACCTAACCCAGGAGTCAGGGTGGAAGGCAGGGCTGACATGATGAAAAAAAAAGCATAAGTCAGTTCCCACAGGAAAAGTAAAAAAAAAAAAAAAAAAAAAAAAGCCTGCCCAGCTCCACGACAGCTGCAAGAAGAGGAATGGAAAAGTAGCTTCTGGAGACAACAGCATTTGCCTGCAGCTGTGGAATGGTGACAGCCACCCCATCCTGACCAACCTTTGAGAGGCAGTCGCTTGCTCACTCCCTGCACAATGCCGTCCTCCAAAATCATGGGCGAAAAATGAGCCACTGGCGATACTCGGCTTCCCTGGAGGGGCCATGTCACCTGGACACGGAGACCGTGACTCAGGTGCCGGGCTGCACATGGAAGGTTCCTGGATACAACATCTGACAGTGTTTTAGCTTTGACTGCTTCCAAGGAAACAGGGCCCGGTGCCCTTGTCTGTACGTTTTGTACGGAGGCAATTTCGTCTCAAGGCCACCTGGGGCAGGGTTCCACCTTTTCCTCCTCCCTGGTCGGCATCCCTCGCTGAATGGATCAGCAGGCCCAGTACTACTGAATTTCACTGTGTTCCTGGCAGGCTGAGAATTACTGCACTAAGTCAGGGTTGACCTCTGCAGGTATAGAGCAAGTGAAGAGAAAATTCCGGAGAATCCAACAGATCTGACATAGATATAAAATCCATGCTGGCCCCTACCATCTGCAGGCCAAAGCCTTTGAAGAAATGGGTGTAGGAGAGGAAGAAAAAGACCTCCATCTACCTCCTACCCTCCACATCTGGGGCTAAATAAAAGGTTCATAGTCTCTGAGTGAGGCTGGGGGCAATGCAAAGATCTAGACCCTTTGCCAAGGCACAACGGAACTGCTGGGGCTCATGACATTTGAATGCCTGTCCCCTTTTCTCCCAGTGGAAATGAGTCCCCCAAAAGTGAAGGGGATACAGGGAAAGAAAGAATTCTAAAAATGCCCAGCTTCTGAACACCATCTTTGTGCAGGCAGCTGGAGGAGGCCAGCTGGGGCGGGGTCCCCTGCCAGCCTGGGGTAGGCAAGGAAGACTCTACTTGTTTGTCTCTGCCACAACTGGGGCCACAGCCAGGACCCGCCCCCGCCCTGCATTCATTGGAGGAACTCAAACTTAAAGGCGCCTGCTAAGAATCAGCTCAGTTTCACTCTGCTGCTCCTGGAAGGGCCTCGCTGTGGGGCGGCCTGGGTGAGCTAAGTCCAGCAGAGTCCAGCAGAGTCCAGCTTGGGAGGCAGGGAGCGGCCCACCATGCCAGCCTGCTGCAGCTGGAATGACGTCTGCCAGTATGAGACAAACAAAGTCACCCGGATCCAGAGCATGAATTATGGCACCCTTAAGTGGTTCTTACATGTGATCGTCTTTTCCTATGTTAGGTAAGTGGGGTGTGGAGGCCAGGGGACAGGGAAGCTCAAATCTTTGCAGTGGCTGACAGCACAGAAGACCTCTCCTGCCCGCAAGGGGCAGCTGAGTGCCACGTGCGTTTCTAATCTGAGAAGTGCAGGCTGGCTGGAGGAGAGGAAGCAGTACCAGGCAGAGAAAAACCGCAGGAGACCAGGCAGATTCCTTTGGACTTCACCCACCTGCCTGGCAGGCCTGCCAGGGAGAGCAGGGCAGGGCATGTCTGCCAAAGGTGAGGCAATGCAGGGCAAAACCCTGAGCCCCGAGGACTGAGGGTTTCAGAACACATCTGGGAAAAGCGCTAGCATCGGAGCCATCGCACTTAGTGAGAGAGAAGCAGGCTTGCAAATATGACTTTCAGGTCCTGTCCTGTTAGGAGGATACATGCTTGTTCTCTCAGCTTATCGAGATATAATCTGTGTTCCATATGGGAGTGCTGCTTTGAGTCCGAGATAGTCCACCTGCAATCCACTTTCCTGATAACGCTCCTGGGAAAGCAGCAGAGGCCAGCACAAGTGCCTGAAGCTCTGCCATCCAGCTGCCTGATTTAGACCAGGCCCAGAGGTGGGCATTTGGGGCATGAACCAGTGGAGAGACCCAGAGGAGACTCCTGGCTCCTGGCTTCAGAATGGCTTAGCTCAGCACCAGCCGTTGTGGTTACCTGGGGAGTGGACCAACAGATGGAAGATCTCTCACTCTCTCATCTCTTTCTCTCTCCCTATCACTCTTTCAAAAAAATAATCACTTTTTAAAAGATTTATTCATTTTTATTTGAAAGGCAGATTTTACAGTGAGGAGAGAGAGAGATCTTCCATCTGCTGGTTCACTCCCCAAATGGCTGTAATGGCCAGGTCTGAATTGATACAAAGCTGTGAGACAGGAGTTTCTTCCAGGTTGCCCACACTTGGCTGGGCCCAAGGCTTTGGGACATCCACCACTGCTTTCACAGGGCCATAAGCAGGAAGCTGGATCTAATATGAAGCAGCTGGTAACAAACTGATGCCCATTATGGGATGCCTGTTGAGCCACTGCATCTGCCCCAATACCTTTAAAAAAAATGTTTGGGGCCTGGCACTGCGACCTAGCAGCTAAAGTCCTCACTTTGAATGCGCCAGGATCCCATATGGGCGCCGGTTCTAATCCCAGTAGTTCCACTTCCCATCCAGCTCCCCTGCTTGCGGCCTGGGAAGGCATTCAAGCACATCCCAAAGCCTTGGGACCCTGCACCCACATGGGAGACCTGGAAGAAGCTCCAGGCTCCTGGCTTTGGATCAGTGCAGCACCGGCTGTTGTGGTCACTTGAGGAGTGAAACACTGGATGGAAGATCTTCCTTCTCTGTCTCTCCTCCTTTATGTATATCTAACTTTGCAATAAAAAAAATTAGTAAATCTTTATATATATAAAAAAATAGTTTTAAGAGTGTAGTAACCTAGTGGCTAAAATCCTGACCTTGCATGTGCTGGGATTCCATGTGGGCAGTGGTTTGTGTCTTGGCTGCTCTGTTTCCCATACAGCTCCCTGCTTGTGGCCTGGGAAAGCAGTCGAGGACAGCCCAAAGCTTTGAGGCCTTTGTGGGAGTCCCCGACAAGACTCCTGACTCCTGGTTTCAGATTGGCTTAGCGCCAGCCATTGTGGCCACTTGTGGAGTGAACCAGCAGACAGAAAATAATTCTGTCCCTCCTTCTCTCTGTATGTCTGCCTTTCCAATAAAAATAAATCTTTAAAATTTTTTAAAATAATAATAAAAATATTTTTCATTTTATTTTAAAAATGGGAAGGGAGAGAAAGAAAGAAGAAATGGGGAGCTGGAGAGAGAGATCTTGTCTGCTTTTGCTCCCCTCCCCCGACCCCACCAATGCCCACAACTGCATGGGCTGGGCCAGACTGAAACCAGGAGCCAGAAAACCAACCTGGGTTTCTCATTTGGTAGAACAGACCCAGGGACTTGAGCCTTCACCTGCTGCTTCCCAGGGGGTACATCAGCAGGAAGCAGAGCCAGGCTGCAACCCTGGCACTCCAGTACAGGTGTAGGTACCCCAAACATCATCTTAACTGCAGCATCAAACACCTAGCTCCAGCATTTCTTCTTAAACTCGGGATGTACCGCTCTAAAATCCTGCCCAATGTAATACTAGTATCTCCTTGTTATAGAAACAATAATAACTCAGGAAGTTTAAGAATCTTGCCCAAGGTCATGTAGTTGAGTAAGCGGTACAGCCACAACTAAACCCAAGCATCTCACTCTAGGATGTGTGTTCCTGTTAAAGTGATGTGGAAAGTAGAGGGGGTGGTATTAAAACTAGAGGCAGACTACCCAGGGGGACTATTGGGCTGTCCAGATGGGAGGGGGCGGTGACCTAGACTAAGAAGGTAAGAGAGGCAGAGGAGAAAAGCAGACAGCCTTGAGTGATGTTAGGAAGACAAGAGAGCAGGACTTGTCCGGGCAGTGGCTGAGGGAGAGGTGGGGGAGGATAAGCCTAGCAGTGAACCAAACTCCTACTTGGGCGACTCAACTGGGGTTCAGAAGTACAGGGCGAAAGGTGAAGTTGGGGTAGAAAACTTGTATGAAGGCATGGAAACTGCGGTGTCTGCGGGAAGGACAACTGTAGATGTTGAATGCCAAGCTGAGTGTATGAACCCAAAGCTGGAGACACAGCTGTATAGGATACTAGCGTGTAGATGGTAACCAATCTGTGGAAGCCATGGCAACTGACCACCAAGGAGAGCTATAGATGAGAGAGAGCCAGAAGGTCTAGAATGGATGGCTGGATAGCCTTGACCCCTGAGGTGTGAACAGTACCAATGTCTCCAGTGGATTCTGAAAAGCTGTAACCACGGAAAGACTGAAGAGATTGTGGATTCTTGAGGCTCAGGAGAGAAGTAGAGGGGACCGGTATGTGCTCGGTGGCGTCAGCTGCTGCTGAGAGCGCAGGGAAGGTCAGGTGCATGGTGTGCCTGCTGGATTTCGAGGCAGTGACGTTGTTTGCCTGGCAAGAGAGGCTGGAGAAGAGAGGCGGGGGTGGGAGCCAGACTGGGGTGGGTGGAGGGCTGAATGAAGACGCGGAAATGGGATGTGGTGACTCACGCTTTCGGGAGACTTGGCTACCAACAGAGAAAGAGAGAGTGCTGGCAGGGGCATGTGCAGTGCAGGGAGGGCTTATTTATAAAATGAGGAATGATGTTGAAATGCAAATGAAGAGGAGATGGGAAGATGGGAGAAGGATCAACAGAAATTTTCATCGCTAGCATCCTCATTTCCACCAACACCAAGGTCCTGTCTCAGGGTGGCCGTCACAGCTAGATGGTTGTTGCTTCTACCAAGTCAGAAGGCTCCTGGCCATAACTTTCACCTTCAGTGAGAGGCCTACCCTGAGCTCTGTCATCTACTTGATGCTCTTCAAATGGCTGCCACTGCTGTGTCTTGTTTCAAATATGCTCCATCCCTCTGGCCAGAGGCTTGAAATCTTGATGTCCAGACCCAGCCTATGGATGGACCCTTTTTGTCAAGACCCTCTTCAAAGGTGGCACACAACCCACATTCCTGCTGTGCTGGTGGAGGCACAGAACGGTTCAATCTTTGGGCAAAGCAAGCTGAGATGTGAAATGTGCACACCCTTTGACCCAGAAGTTGAACCTTGAGGACTGGACACTTTAGACAGGGAATATCCTTGCGTAGGTATTGCCGGCAATTGAGTGGAGAGACAATGAGTGCGTTGGCCAGGGGTGCACTAAGTGGCCAGGGACAGGAAGCTTTTCCCTGAGGTCAGGAATGCAACAAGGATGCCTAGAGTCACTGCCAAGCATCAATATTGTAGAAAGGAGGAAGTACACAGATAATGCAAGGCCCACAGCAAACCCCCAGGGATTTATACAACCCAGCAGAGTTCATACACCATCCAACAAAGCCGCAAGCTCACCTTATCGGTTCACAAAATCCAGCCGCATTTCCACTGGCAGTGAAGTTCAAGAAGGAAATAAGAAAAACCATTGTGTTTGCCAAAGCATCCAAAAGGACTGGGGCTGTGAGGGTGGATGGCTGAGTTCAAGACTTGGCTGCCATGTACTACATAACCCTTGATGAGTTCCTCTCTTTGTCAATGCCACAGCTTGCTCGGCTGTGACACCGGGGTCATACGAGGCCAGGCTGAGCATCCCTCAACCCGAGAGGATTAGGGGCATGAGATTGTCAGATCTGGGAGGTTCTCAGGTTTGGAAACAGTTATGTAGCCCTCACCAGCTGAACAGCCCCCGTCAACAGACCCAACGTTTTTGAGCATCAGTCAGAGTTCTGAATTAGGGACACTCGGCCTATAGCTTCTTTCTAGGGTTTTGTTGTGCTCGTTGGCAGGGAGGAAATATTTGAGGGTGTTTCACAAAGTGCACAGACAACGACAGTAGCACAATACCAAAATCCATGAGCACAGGAAATGTACTTTGTGCGGAAAACTGTTTTCACACAATGGACATCTTTTCATTCCACTTTACCCCAAGATTTTGAAGCGCCCATACATGTTGGCACAGAATAGACCTAGAAGAGATATTGGCACATGGTAAGAGCTAAATCAAGGTTACTCCAAAATATTGATAATTGGGAAAACTGAACGAAATTTCCAATTAAATATTTACCCATATAAAGGACTACTGGGTCTCACCACAATAGCCTAGTAGCTAAATCCTTGCCCTTGCATCCACCGAGGTCCCATATGAGCACCAGGTCATGTTGTTCCACTTCCCATCCAGCTCCCCAACTATGGCCTGACAAAGCAGTCCAGGATGGCCTAAGGCCTTGAGACCTGCACCTGCATGGGGGACCTGGAAAAGCTCCTGGCTCTTAGCTTTGGATTGGCTCAGCTCTGGCTGTTGCAACCACTTGGGGAGTGAACCAGTGGATAGAATATTTTTTTTCTCTGTCTTTCCTTCTCTCTATGTATCTTCCTTTCCAATAAAAATAAAGTCTTTTTTTTAAAAAAAAAAAAAAAGAACTACTAGCTAACATAGCACCAAAGTTGAATTATGTGGAATTGCCTATATTCTACAATTACCATTTATGAAATAAGAAGTTTCACATCTTCAACCTAAATACTAGAATATCCTGTAGCTATTTAAAAGACTGCCATCAGAAAGCAGGAAAAAGCAGCAGATGCAGGACACCTAGATGGGGAGACCTAGATGAAGCTCCTGGCTCCTAGCTCCGGCAATGGAGGCCACTGGGGAGTGGAACAGAGGTCTTGTTCTCTTTCTCCATCTACTCTTTGCTCTAATTCTGTCTTTAGAATAAAAAAAAAATAAAAATAAACCTACTTTGAAAGACAAACAATTCAGTGGCCTGGAGGCCAGCCCTAGGGCAGCGCCCTCACTATCTCTAGGAGGTTCTTGCCCACAAAGATACGCCCTACCCATCAGCAGTCATGCCGCAGTCCTCCCCCTCTCACCTGGCAGGCCACCAACCAACTCTGTGTCCCTGTAGATGTTCCCACTCTGGACATTTCACAGAAGTGGGATGCTCTAATGTTTGTGACCTTTGGTGACCGGCCTCTTTCTTTCCAAGGTTCATCAACATGTTCACCATGATGGCACTTGGTGCTGTTTCAGGCCTGGGGAATATTCTAATTTCTGAGCAGATCATATTTTGTCTGCCCACTCAGCTACTGGCCAACTTTTCATTCTATTTCCCCCACCCTTCCCTGATGCCTTAATAATTTAGATTTACACATCTGAAAGAAGGCATTATTAGCGAATGAACTCCCCAAAGGTCAGGAAGCCAGTAGTGGAACCATATCACACAAGTCATCCTGGCAGAGAGGGCTGGCTCTGGGCTCTGAACAGACAAGTCACTGACCTCAGCTCTGACAGCCTGCTGTGTGACCTAGAGCAAGCTCCTGCACCTCTCTGAGCCCATTCCCTTGGCGACAAAAGCACAGTGACCAGAGTAACTTCACCATCTCGTGCCGGTGTGAGGGCAAGCAGGTGATGCCTGGGGAGCCCTGGGCACACACAAAGTGTTCAGCAGCACAAGGGGCTCAACTGCCAGACACAGCCTGCGAGAGGAAGGTGCTGATGGGCCATGCTGGTAGGCAGGCCTGTAGCTGGACTATTGCTTAGAAGCTTCCAGCAACTCCGAGTCAGTGTTAGGTAACAAGAAAGGATAGGGTTGGGGCAGGAGTTCTCCTGTGCAAGTGCTTACCAGGTACCACATACTCTACTGAGTTTACACACATATATCATTTTTCACTGTTGTTGAAAGACAGAAAGATAAAAACATAAAGAGATCTTCTAACCATTTGGTTCAGTCATTGAATCATTACAACAACTAGGATTGGGCCAGGCTGAAGCCAGGAGCCAGAAACTTCATCCAGGTCTTCCACGTTGGTGGCCAGAACCCTGGGCTACCTTCCTGGCATATTAACAGGAAGCTGCATCAGAAGTGGAGCAGCTGGGACTCGAACTAGGCACCCCTGGGTGGGTTATGGGCACCCCACGCATAACCACTTAACCACTGCATCAAATACCCGTGCTTACTTCAGCTAACCCACCGATGCTTCTCGGTGTGTGCCCTTCAGCTTTGCCCTGGTGACTGACAAGCTGTACCAGAGGAAAGAGCCGGTCATCAGCTCTGTGCACACCAAGGTGAAGGGCGTAGCAGAAGTAAAGGAGGAGATCGTGGAGAACGGTGTGAGAAAAGTGGTGGGCAGCATCTTCGACACCGCGGATTACACCTTCCCCCTGCAGGTGAGCCCCCATCTGCAGCCTCCCAGGACGGGGTCCCTGGGTCACGGTCACCACGGTGTCACTCCACTCCCCTCTTCCCCACCCGCCCCAATCTCATGCTTCACTCCAGAATAAGATCGGCCCTATTTTAAAACTCTGTGAAAATCCCAACTGAGAAAACCTAAAAATTGCAAATCTGGGGCATATCCAACCGCTCCAAAGAGCTTATTCTCTGCTGTATCGAGTCCTACAGGGATTCTCAAAATAGCAGCGTGTCCTGGTGCATTATAAAATACAATCTGAGCGCCGGATGCTTCGCCTCACAGTTAAGCTGCCTGTGCCCCACATGGGAGGACCGTGTTTGAGTCCAGCGCTGGCTCCTGCCTCTAGCTGCCCCCACCCCCTGCTAACACAGATCCCTAGCTGAAGTGTTTGGATTCCTACAGATCAGCACACAATCAGAGAGGCCTAACAACTTCTCCAACTACACACAGCTTGCCGGATGTAGAGCCAGGGTTAGAACCCTGGAGTCCTTGCTTGCAGCGTCTCCCACCAGGGCCCACTGTGAACTGTCAGCAGGGCCAGTCCTGGCAAGCATTGTCAAGTGGCTCAAGGTCTCATGGAGATCTGGGTTGCTGGCCTAGCCCTGGCCGTTCAGAGTATATGAAGAATGAATCAGCAGGTAGGTTCTCTCTTTCTTGGTCTCCCAAGCAAACCATGGGGGCCAGCATTGTGGTGTAGTGGATAAAACTGCTGCCCACAATGCCAACATCCCACATGGGCACAGGCGGATGCAGCTGCTGCATTTTCTGATCTAGCTCTCTGCTAATGTGCCTGAGGAAGCAGAAGATGGCCCAAGAGCTTTGGCCCCTCTACCCACATGGGAGATCTAGAAGCAGCTCTAGAAGCAGGCTCTTGATTTTGGCTTGGAGCTCTCGCAGCCATTTGGGGAGTAAACTAGTAGGTGGGAACTCTCTGTATCTCTCCCTTTCTCTGTGTAACTCTGCCTTTCAAATAACTCATAGAAAAAGAGGGGGGAGGGGAAAAGGGAAAGGGAAAGAGAGAAGCAAGCTACGGTTTTTGCTTCTCACACATGACGCATGCCTGAATGCGAAAGGGCAAAGAACTGCCCTGTGGGGCACAAGCCTTCGGGATTGTCTGTGTGGTGTTCCAGGAACCGCAGGATCTCCAGGAGTCCAGGCTCGGTTTCGCCAGAAGGAAGGAGGGCAGGGCATGGAGGGGCTTGGTGGCAGTTGGAGGAAGGAGAGCAGAGTTGCTACAGAGAGTCCCACATGGGGCTGAGGACACAGGTGGGAAGGGGGCAGCAGTCCCGGGGAGCCAGAAGCTTCACAAAAATGCTTGGAGCCCAGGCTGCCAGCTTGTGTGAGCTGCAGCCATGGCCGGGCAGGTGAAAGGCCCCATGGCCCCTTCATCCTGCTGCTGACGGCCTACCCCACCTCCACTCCCCCAGGTCTCAATTTAACGGGATTTGGCTGTGTCAAAAAAAAAAAAAAAAAAATGAGAGGGCGGCTTTTGGCAAGTGATGGCTTGAGCTCTTGGGCTCTCCCCCGGCTCAGAGGGTGGCTTATCCGGCTTTGAGGCTAAGCCCAGGACAGGGCCTGGTGCCTGCAAGCTCAGAGGGAGGCGGGGCCGCCCCCAGCACTTGGCAGCTCTGTTCTCAGAGGCACTCTCTTTGTCCTCCGCAGGGGAATTCCTTCTTCGTGATGACAAACTTCCTCAAGACGGAAGGTCAAGTGCAGGGGCTGTGTCCCGAGGTACACAGGGGACCTGGGGTGGTGCCATGCAGGTGGGAAGGAGAGCTTGGGGCAGGCACAGGTCCAAGCACCTGCCTCTCTGGGGTGGGGCTGGAAATGAGGTTGGGAAATGTCTCCCAGACCACTTGAGCTTTCTGAGTCCTACCTCCAGACACCTGATGTTTCTGTGGCTCGCTTGCCCCCCACCCAGGACCCCTGGCCTCTACCTGCCCTCCATACCAGTCATTGCAAGACAAGAACCACCTTTTCCGGATCCATTTTTGGGCTCAGAGAGGCTGACTCATTTTCCACAAAGACACAAAGCTGGTTGGAGGCAGGTCTAGGGTTAAAAGCCCAGTCCTTGCTCACAGCTTCTCCAGCCTATGCCCAGGACCAGGCAAGCGTGGTCAAGCAGCATGCATCTGCTCCCCGGCTCTTCCACCTGCCCCTAAAAGAAACTTTTCCCTGTTAAGTTGGCCCTCATGCTCCCTTCATGTCCCCACTACACAGAGGTAGCGACTGGAACTTTTCCACCTGCCTCCCTGGCAGGGCTGCATCCCTAATCCAGCTCAAGCTCCATGTCCCTCTTACATCTCATGCTAGGCCACCCAGTCCTGTGGACACACACAGACATATTGTGAGTAGGAGGGCGTCTAAGAGAGTTAGGGTGGCCCAGAGATGAGGAGTCTAAGCTCAGAAGCCAGATACAACTCATGGTTCAGAACTTGACTCAGCAGTTGTGTGTCCCAGGGCAGGTGAATTCACCTCTCTAGGCCTTAATGTACTCACATGTCCACTCCATTGCTTATCAGGATCTACTGTGTGGCAAGGACATGCCTTGCCTGTGACTACCCAGCTGGGGAAACCCAGGAGCTCAGGGTCCTTGCCCCCAAGCCCCGTGAAGACCACCCCTGAGACCACCTAAGGGACAGAGAGCAAGCCCCTCTCTACACTGGGTTCATATTCTGCCCCACTAAGCTGCTCACCCCGCTCCCTAGGAAATGGAGAAATCAGATACAAACCAGGTCACTTCAGCCCTCTGCTTCTCTGTGTCCTTCCGCCCTGAGATGCAACTGGCCCCATTCTCCCAGGCCAGGAGAGAGGGCTGCCCGAGGCCCCTCATGTCCATGTCACTCAGGGCCCCCTAGACCAGGCCACCTGCTCGCCACCTCCAGGGCCATACCCCCCCCTGCCCTGGAACCTGCTAGTCAATTGTATTTTTTCATTGACGCAGAATTCACCATAAAATCCACCACTTTTAAGTATATGATTCAGCAGGCTGTAGTCCATGCAACCACCACCATTACCTGATTCCAGAACATTCTCAGGGTCCTGAAAGGAGAGCCTACACCCATTAGCAGTCATTCTGCTCTGCTCTCTCCCTCCTCTTGCAGATCTACCTGGCCTGTCCGGAGGACCATGTTTCCACATTTTCTCACTTAGCATCACACTTCAAGGTTCAGGCCTGTGGGAACATGAGTCAGGCCCTTGTCTGTGCTATCGCGCCTCTGCGTGTGTGTGTGTGTGTGCTCATGTCCACTTGCACGCACCTGCTCCTCATTCGAGTGATGCACGTGGCTCACTCCTGCTTCCTGTCCTTCTCCCTCAGTATCCCACCCGCAGGACACTCTGCTCCTCTGACCAGGGCTGCAGGAAGGGATGGATGGATCCACAGAGCAGAGGTACCATTCGTTTCCTGTCGGGACCCCTGGGGGTCGCTAGTCTGGCACCTGTGGGGGCAGCAGGGTGGGGAGACAGCTGTGCTACCTGGTTCAGGCCCTCAGCTTCTGGTACTGAGTGGTCTTCTTCCACTGTTGCCAACCATCGGTCTGCCCGTGTCTGACTCCATTCCTAGCACACCTGCCACTGGCTGGGGATGGGGTTCCAACTTCCCAGCGAGAAGCTGCTGAAAACCAGGCAGGCTCAGGGCATTACCTCAACTATCCCCTGGATTCCCCAGCATTTGAGCAGCATCAACTTGTACCCTTGGGGCACCTGGAGGAAATGGCCTCACCCAAGCTTTAGTTTAAACACAATAGCCATAAATGCATATGGTGCCCAAGGATGAAAGGTCATTTATTTAGGATTTAGGACAAGTGACTCTGACCCTGCTTACAACATTCCCCCCTGGAAACCTCCCAGACTCTCCAGCAAAAGGTGCCATGCTGCTTTGTGGCTTTGCGCATCCCTGGACAGGCCGGGTTCCTCCTGAGGGATCCCAGAGCCCCTGCGAAAGGCCAAGGTCATTCATTCCACCAGGGCAAACATCCTGTTAGGAGCCTTTTCTTGGAGAGACATCAAAGGGGCCTGCCTCTGAGGCACTTGCCGCCCCATGCTCTGTCCCTTTGCTGGCCTTGCAGCCACCTGTGGCTGGATGGAGCTAGGGGTTTCCTCTTCGTAACAGATGAACTCATGTGCAGTTCTGCCACTCTCGGCCCCGTAGGAATCCAGACTGGAAGGTGTGTCGTGTACAAAGGTAGCCAGAAGACCTGTGAGGTGTCTGCCTGGTGTCCCACGGAGGCTGTGGAAGAGGCGCCCCGGTGAGCTGCAGGGGAGGGGGAACCTGGGAGCCCAGGGCCAGGCTTTCCCTCTGCAGTGTTTGGTGGACTTGGGGATGGCCGTGCTGGGCTCACGGCTTGCCACAAGCAGGTGTCTCTGGGAAGATCCCATTGGCAAAGGAACATGTAGAGATAACTCAGGACCAGTGACACCATCCTGGAATGTCATTCCCCACTTCCCCAGTGGTTCCAGTACCTTCCAGGGCAAGGCTGGTCTTCCTGATTGGCCTTATTAAGTGATTGAGGATAGGGGGAGGGGAAGAGAAGCAAAGCGGGGGAGAGGGGAGGGCAGTTTTCTCAGAGCGGGTTGTCCCCTGTGTAGAGTCCTACCTTCAACACAGAAGGTCAGGATGTAAAAGGCTGATGCATCTCAGCAGAAAACAGAAAGGCCAAGATTTGGATGCTGCCTGGGATGCCTCTTGGCTGTGGGACTTTGGGCAAATGGTTTAACCTCTCTCAGCCACATGCAGCTCAGCAGTAAAATGAGAGCAGTGGCAGCTACCTCACGGGCTATTGGAAGGAGGAGATGAGATGGGACTCCTATAGTGACTGTAAAGTAACCCTGATGCCTGGCTTTCTCTCTCTCTCTTTCTCTCTCTCTCTCTGCCCCAGACCTGTGGCAGTCCTTCAAACAGCACCCTCCGCTGACACTCTACAGTGGTAGGAATGTTTTGCACCTTTGCTGTCCAACCTGGCAGCTGCTGGTTGCCTGTGGCTATCAAACCCTTGCAGTGCAGCAGCTGACCATGGAACCTGTGGTCCAATTTCATCGAGCATGCCTCATGGCTACCCCTGTGGCAGTGCAGAGCTAGATTTGTGTGACTCAGGACTAGTCCCCCAGTAGCCATTGGGCAAAGAGAAAATTGTTCCACGCGGCCCCAATGGGGGTTCATGCAAATCTCCCTCTCACCAGGGAAGGGGGGCAGCCAGTATCACTCACTCTGGCCCTCCAATCATTTCCTGGCTCCACTCAGATCGCTCCTAGGCAGGGAAGCTTGCCTGACACAAAAGGCACTGCCTCCGTTGTGGCAGGACACCAGCCGTTAGCTCGGGACAAGGGTCCCCTTGACTGACTGTGGCTTTGAGCTGCCGCTCTACTGCCAACTTCCTTATTGCATAAACACAGCACATCATCCACACGCTGGCGCTGGGCTGCCAGCTGCCCGCTAGACCCCATGCATTAACCATTCCTTCAGTGCCTCCTTCAGCACACAGCGGGCACACGATGTTTATCTGACACATATTGACACAAAAGGAACCACCACATCTGATGAAAAATGCAAGCAGTTCCCAAGATTCCTATGGTCTGAGACACACGCACACGGAGCTGTAATTCAAGACAGAAAGCGGACAGTGTCCAGAGGAGGCGCAGGGATCCCTGAAGCTTCGGCATCCTGAGGTTCTGCATTTCAGAAAGTGTGTGGTTCAGAATGACACAGACACACTGGGCCTGGCATGGGGGCAGGCCTTGACATACATGAGATTTCTTTTGATGCAAGTGACACACGGCTCCACCTTAAACCACGTTCGCAACAATGAGGAGGGTTATTTTGTGGTTAGCGTTTTGCATTCTGCTCCACAATCCAGCTGAAGAGGCTAGCCTCAGCCGAGGCTGGACCCAGACTTCAAATACCGTCCTTCAGACTCTTGCCTCCAGCAGGGCCCCCTTCCATCATTCTTCCTGTTCTGACTTCCTCATATTGCACTCTGGGGAAGGCCAGGTTGGCACCAGCCTTTCTACCTAATAATGCCTCTGAAAATGAGTTTCTCTTTCACAAGTGTGCCCATAAAAGCCCTGAAATGTCCTTATTGTCTCACCTAAGTCACAGAGGCCACTCAGAAACAGTGTGACCAGCAGGAAAGGGTCACACTATTTACCCAGCACTGGCTTCCTTGTGTGCCCACCCCGCCCGCTCAGGGACGCAGGAGGGATGGAGGACAGGTGCAGTCAGCCCCACTCTGCCCTCTGTACACAAAGTGAAAGACAACTGGCCTCCTCCGCGTTGGGGTGGAGCCGCCAGGGTGGAGCCAAGCAAGCGTTCATGACAGCAATGTTCCAACCTGGGTTCTGGAACACAAGGCAGACCACCCGGGTGCCCCCACCTCTCCTGCAGCTGTCCCGAATCCCCATCTGTCCCCGCTTACGTAGTGTACCGGTTATGTCTTCGTTCCTAGAGTGTCTACCACCTCGGAGAGACTGTCAGGTGGACCAGGACAATGACGACTTCCTTGTCCCTCACCATATCCGCAGTGTCCACCCACAGGCTCTCGTTGAAGGATAGGTGGTGGGCAGGTCTTCCTGCGGGCCCCGAATTCAGACTCCTCTAACTCATTGCCGTCAGGGCTGTAGCGGAATGGCTGATAAATCAAGTCTAGGTGTGTGACCCTGTGCTACAGACCAGGGTGCCACTATCCCAACCCTCAGGAATTCCAGGCCTGTGAGGACATCTACAAGCAGGTGTGCTGGGGACAATTATGCTCATCCCTGCCCAGCTTCAAGGTGAGCCACAGAGGGAACATCTGCACCATGGCAACCAGCAAATGTTCAAAGGGGCATTGCCTGTCCCCGCCGGAGCTGCATCCCACTGCACAGGTCACAGAGTGCATGACTTGTCACAGTAAACGCCACGAGATCTCAAGAACAGAAATTCTAGAAGCTTGATGGAGAATTTGCTTCCCCTATGAGATTGTTATATCTAGTTCTCTCTGTTAGATCCCAAAGATCAAAGCATGAGGCCAGCAGCCTCTGGTGCTGTCCACCCAGGGCCCCCCCAGATTCTCCATAGTCACAGACCCCGTTTGCATTCCTCTGTCCCAGGCCTGCACTCTTGGCCAGCGCTGAAAACTTCACTGTGCTCATCAAGAACAACATCGACTTCCCCGGCCACAACTACACCACGTGAGCGCCCTGGTGGGAGCGGGCGGGTAACACGTGACCCCAAACTGAGAAGCCCCAAGCAACACTTCTTGTCCTCGTGGCACAGGAGGCTGGGAAGGACTTTGCTGAGTGCTTCTGGCTGAGGGTCCCCCCTGGGTTGCAGGTGAATGATCATGAATGAGAGCTTCCTGGGTCTCTAGGCTCCACTGGGGCTGTGGGGCTTGGCTCCCTAGCACTGTCTACATGTCACCAGGAAGAGGCGTCTAGCCTCTCCCTAGGCAAGAGAGAGTAGGGGGATGAAGTCACGGCCTTTGGAAGGGACACACCATGGCTTCTGCCATATGCTATTGGTCACACAGACCAACTCGGCCTCTGCGTAAGAGGCCACTGCCCAGAGGTAGGAGTCACCAGGGCCCTAGCTCTCTATTTTTGCAATAGAGGGCTGTGTCATTGTCTGCACAGGAGAAACATCTTACCGGGTTTAAACATCTCCTGCACTTTCCATAAGACTCAGGACCCACAATGCCCCATCTTCCGGCTGGGAGACATCTTTCGGCAAACAGGAGATAATTTTTCAGATGTTGCGGTTCAGGTTAGTGGTGTCTTTGGATGGCAGGGTGTGTGTGTGTGTGTGTGTGCCACACATGTGTATCTGAATGGAGGAGTGTGGCGGTCCAGGTTGGTGGTGTCTCTGGCAACACTGTACAGGGTGTGTGTATCAGGGATGCAGGATGTGAGACAACTGCCCACTAGGTCTTACTGAACCAGCTCGTGTTTGCCAAGCACACAGCCAATCCATGTGTGCTGCCAAACACTTTGCTTCGCCTCATCCCACAGCAGCGCTGAGCATGGGCTGCTGGATCAAGTCACTAGCTTCTTCCTTCTGCTTCCAGGAGGCAGAAGTCTGAAAGGAGCTTCCTCGAGCCAGAGGCAAGCTGTCTGCAGGGCCACAGGCGCTCAAAGGCCTCGGAAGGGTCTGCTCTCTGGACATGCCCCCCTGCCCACGCTGCAGTGCTGAGCTCCCAGCGCCCCTCTCCACCTCCAAGGCCTGCATGCAGCATCTTGCATCAGCGGCCATGGTCCACTCCAAGCTTCCTTCAGAGAGGGTGTGCAAGGTTCACCTGGATCATCTGCCCAGGTCACATCTTCAATTCGAGCACATGCACAGGCAGGAGTGGCTTGCTGAGAGTTATATTTGAGGGAAACTGGCCTAATTATCTCAGTTCCAGAGGCAAGGCAAGAGTAGGGAGATATGCATGTAATTGCTATATAATATAGCCAGTGGATGAATGCCACACTTGAAGTTTTGAAGCCTTTCTTCTAAAAGGAAAACCCTCCCTTCAGCGAAGAGGGCCGAGGTGGGAGATCCCAGGAGGTCGTGCAAGCACAGCCAGCTGATCCAGGGCCTGTGTCCTGTGTCCTACAGGGAGGGATCATGGGCATTGAGATCTACTGGGACTGCAACCTGGACGGGTGGTTTCATCACTGCCGCCCCAGATACAGTTTCCGCCGTCTGGATGACAAGAACGTCAATGAGTCCTTGTACCCTGGCTACAATTTCAGGTAATGGTGCCACCCCAGGTCAGACTCCGGGCCCTGGAATTGCATCCTTTGCAGTAAGTCAGCCAAGTCTGGATTTCCAAGGCAACATGATGAGTGCTATGGCTTGCCTCTAACAGTTAGACAGTGATGAGATGTTTGAAAACTGCTTTTTAAGATTTGTTTCTGAATCTGAAAGGAGAGACAGCTTCTATCTGCTGGTTCATTCTCCAAATGGCTGCAAGGGGAAGGGCTGGCCCAAGCCAAAGCCAGGAACTTCATCAGGGTCTCCCATGTGGTACAGGGGCCCAAGGACTTGGACCATCTTCCACTGCTTCCTCAAGCACGTCTGTAGGGAGCTGGATCAGAAGTGGAGCAGTAGGTACTCAAATCCAGACCACAATTTAACCCGCTATGCCACAGCACGGTAAAACAAAAGCCAAACTTGGGAACTAAAGAAAAGCACAGTGGAGAGTGATGAATGCTGACCTCCAGGAGGACTCCCCTCACTCACCCCATTCTCTCACAAGGTCCCCTGAGATGGGCTCACACACACCATTTGTATTGACTTCATGTAGCACTCAGAATTCATCACACAACCACACTGCCCCACATGTGCGGGTACTGCCCCACCCGCTACTCAGCAGCATTCTGTCTCAATCCCTCAACAACCCTGGGGGGCAGATCATGCTGCTCTACGACACTGACGTGGCCCAAGTCAGTACCCGGATCAGGCCCGATGGAGAAAAGTAGGCTTAAGTGCAGTTGGCTACTGATTATGATATTCTGGATGTTGCCAAAATTGGGATCATCTAAATGGGATCCAGCTTTCTAATTCTAAATATATGCTTTTCACCATTAAAAAAAAAAAAAAAAAGAAGAAGAAGAAGAAGAAGAAAAACAGGCCATTTGACAACCCCAGGAACGAATCCCACGTGGCAGCCCCTGGGCGACGCTGAGGACCCACGGTCCCCTCTGCAAAGGGTCTGTGCGTGTTTGTCATCGTCCCACCACTGCATGTGGCTTATTCATCGCCCCTGTAGGTTTTTGCATTGGAAACCTGTGGCTTAAAGGCTGGGTGATCCTTTTAAAAAATTATCTTACTTTTATTTAGGGACAGAGTTACAGAGAGAGAAAGAGAGGCCTTCCATTCACTGGTTTACCCTCCAAATGGCTGCAACAACTGGAGCTGAGCTGATCCAAAGCCAGGAGTCAGTGCATCTTTGCGGTCCTCCCACGTGAGTGCAGGGAACTAGGGTGCTGGATAGGAAATGGAGCAGCCAGGACACAAACCAGCACCCATATGGGATGCCGGCGCCACAGACGGAGGACTAGCCTGTTACACCACCATACCAGCCCTGGCTAACACTTTTTGCTTTGGCTGGGTCAGTGGGGTTCCATCCTGAGCTCTGAAGCCAACGGCTAACTGGGGTAACTTGTGTGATCATCCCCTGGGCGTCTGCTGAAAAGACTCATGGCCATTATTAGCCACAAGAGAGGAAGGACTCCCTGCCCCTCACTGCCCTTCCCAGTGGTTTTTTAGTAGTCAGTGGAGGCACACCGGGCCACACGCTGGTCAGGTGTTGGCCATACCCCTGGGGCTCTCTGAGCTGCAGCGACGCCATGAGCTCCTGGAGCGATCGGAGCGTTCAGAAGACTGCACGGGGTTGTGATGCTGATGTTGTTTTAGAACAAGGTGTTGGAGCATTTAGCGATGTGCACCACAAGAAATCTTTGGTCAAAAATACATTGTAGAGTTCTGACAGTGAAGTGAACAGTTATTTTCAACAGGCCTCAAAGAGAGAAAGATGATGGGTTACAGAAGAAAAATATAACCTGCTAAAACACAGGAAGGAGACCAGCACATCACAGAACTTCGCCTTTTGCAAAAAAGATCTTACTGCCAGGTGTCAGGTCCTTACTGGGTGAACATGACTGAGTTTGCTGATAGCACAGGTGAGGCGGGGCAGTACTGTGCAGAATGCACACTGCTCATGCCCGGGGAACTGTGTGTATATTTGTCTCCTGTGACTGCTGAACAGATCCCTGCAAACCTGGCGACCTCCAACAATGAGACTCTATGGCTCTGGAAGAAGGAAGCCTGAAATCCCGCTGGCTCCAGGACCAGGCGCCAGGGAGGTGTCAGGGAAGGCTCCGGGGAAGGACCCTTTCTTGCCACTTCCACCTGCAGCCAGTGGTCCTGAGTCGCCTGGTACAGCCCACTTCCACAGTCACGGGGAGCTGGGTGCTTGGTTTTAGAGTATTTCAGATCTCCTACTCCATTTTGGCAGAGTGAGTACTGCCGGTGTTCTTCTCTGCCCACACATGTAGAGGGTGAAGCAATGACTCAGAAATTTTAAAAAACCAATACAGACCCTCCTCCAGAAACAACCACCCGAAGGTGGGATGAGGGCAGGAAAGATTTTTGAAGAGGTTTGAGCCATCATAAGTATTCCTGAGAAACAAAACCGGCCACTTTTCTTCACTCAGCAGTGGGGAGGGTGGCACACTTGGGGTGATTCATGCCTGCGTCTTGATTTATGAAGGTGCCCCAGTGATGACACGAAAGGCCAATGTCATCGAAAGCAGAATTCACTGCACACATTTCCCCAGATACAAGATGTGTCATGCCATACCAAGTTCCACAGGAGGCAGAAATAAAGGAAAGCATAGCCTGGAAATCTTGTGGTGTTTTCCATGAGGGAGGCAAGGCAAGGCCAGGGCCATCTTAGGGTTGGCTGATTTGAACAATGTCCCTAGTTCTGGGACACAGAGCCGGTCTCTAGCTGTCAGGCCCTGTCCCTCCTGGGCCCTAAGGGGAAATGGTGTCCTGGGTGTGTAGAAGGTAGCTGGTATAAAAGTGGGACTCACTGCAGTATGTACAATATGATTGCACGAGCTCACAGCAGGTACGTTATGGAAAGACAGAACAACTTTGATCTTTAGTTTAGCCTTGACAAACCCAGAATCTGTAGAAAGATCAACTAAAACAGACTGCAGAGGTGCCCCCGCCACCAGTCCAATCCTCTGTAGCCATGGTTCTTCTCCCTCCCTGTTTGGCTGGAGAGCTCTTATTCTCCCTTAAGGAATCATCAGAAGACTTGAAGCTTTGTTTTTTGTTGTTTGCTTTGTTTTTAAATCCCTGTTTGTTGCTAACCCTTTACTGCTCGCAAATGGTTCCTTTGAACCTGAAAGCTGATGGCCCATTACCCTGCCATGATGAATGTTGAGGGGTTCAGGTGGGGGAGGTCCTGGTGGCAGGTGACCACAGAGTCACGGATGGATATTCAGACTACATTCTCCCTGCCAACAGTGGCTGAGCTAAAAAGCAAATGAGGAAGATCACTTGGGCTACTGTTTCTGCTCTTTGTATAAAATATCAGCACTTCCAGGAGCTCTTGATAAATAACGATCGCTTCTCCTCCTGCAGGTACGCCAAGTACTATAAAGAAAACAATGTGGAGAAACGGACTTTGATCAAAGCCTTTGGGATCCGTTTCGACATTCTGGTGTTTGGCACCGTAAGTCTCCCCCAGTCCCAGTCCTGGGCGCCTCCATGGAGTGCCTTCACGGAGGGAAAGGGCCCAGCCACTGCCATTAGCTGGGAAGAGTGTCCGTGGGGTCCTGTCCATACAGAAGGCAACCAACAATTACAAGAGTGGGACCTGGAAGACAAATTCTCATATATTCAATTTAGAAAAATCCTCCAATACTTAAAAAATGAGAGAGGACGAGGTCCTTCTGCAAAATAGCTGGAGGTAACAGAATATAACTTGAATGGGATTGAAGGGAAACGTCCTTCTGCGGGGACTGGGGGGCTCACTCGGTTTACGTGACTGAAAACTCCAGAGGCCGTTACAAGCTTCAGGCACAGCCAGACACAGCGTTCCACCAAGCCCATCAGGAATCGGCCTCCCTCTGTATCCTACACCTGCTTTCCTCTGTCTTGGTGGCCCACTCAGATGTGCCAAGTCTACATGGGGGTATCAGCCAGTTCCTTCTCTCTTACCAGTCGAGCAACCCCAGAGAAGAGAGAAGAGCCTCCTGCCAAGTCTCAGTAGCAGCCTGAGGCAGAGGCCACTGGCTCAGATTGGCCAATCTGGGCCACATGCCCACTGCTGCACTCATGCACAGGGTCCCAGTCCTGGCTATCCCCTGCATGACTGGTGTTACACCAGTCCTACCCCAAGCCAGGAGCCAGAGGAGAAGGCCGGCTTCCCCTTGACCCTCTGTAAACTACATGGACTGACAGAGGCGGTTCTGTAGGAGCAGATGGGGGCACTGCCTTCTGAAGGAAGGAGAATGCCAGACAGGCAAAGCTCCCAGAGCCCCCATGCCCCTGGTGGCATGATTTACGCCACATGTCGATAAGCCCATAGAGTAGAATGAAAGGCAGTTGAGAAAGCGCAAAAACCACCAAGTGCAAAAGCCACAAGGACATCCCAGTGGAGAGCCTATGCAGAAATTCCTTCATCCTAGACCACTGCCAAGAGGAGCTTGCCCCAAACCCTCTCCTCTTAAAGTGAGGCTTCTGGGCAACATTCACGGAGCCAGACAAGCGTGGTGTGGCAGCAACAGGACAGGCGAGTCAGTTTCAGTCTGTGCCGCTGCCAGCACTTGGCGCACCTGTCAGAGCTATGGACTGAGGCCCCAGCTCCCACCAGGACCACCAGCTGCAGGCGAGAGCACAGCAGGTGTTTCCCAAGATGTCACCAGAGGGGGAGGGACAATTCCTACTCTGTTTTCAGGGAGGAAAATTTGACTTGATCCAGCTGATTGTGTATATCGGCTCGTCGCTCTCCTACTTCGCCTTGGTAAGAGACGCTCTTGCCCACGCCCTCAGTGCCCGAGTTTGCCAGAGGAAGTTTCACTCCCCTGGTGTTTGTCCGGGTTCCCCTCCCCTCCTCTGCAGGCCACGGTCTTCATCGACTTTCTTATCAACACTTACTCAAGCAACTGCTGCCGCTTGCACATCTATCCCCGCTGCTCCAAGTACTGCAAGCCCAATGAGTACTACTACAGGAAGAAGTACGAGTCTGTTGTGGAGCCAAAACGGGTAAGCTGCGCTGAGCACGCAGGTGCCAGACCCTCCGTGGCTCCCCCTGCATCAGGGCGGGGGCTATCCAGCCCGTGAGCTGTACACGAAGCCCACAAAAGCATTCAGTCTGGCCCGGCCAAGGGAACTACAGGTGGAACTTGCAATCCACCAAATCTACTAGCAGTCTAAAATGTGAGTTGATAATTGTGGATAATTCACGAATTGTGTTAGAAATACCCAAATGAACCTTGACAGAAGAAAGGCTCCCCACCCCTGCCTTAAATAAAAGGGAAATGTGCACAATTAGACCAAATCATAGGTTTAATAGGGTTAGTGATACATTTATAGACTCCAATCTTTTCAGATAAATCCTATGGTCTCGGGAAAGAAGAAAAACAAAAAACGAAGAGGTAAAACACGGGGAAGAGAAACACTTCTCTTTCGAGGTGTGTCGACGTTGTCATTTATTAAATTGGCACAGCCCCTTCCCCCCAGGAGCACAGTGACCGTGAGGAACAAGTTGGCAGTGGCTCATGACATTCAACTGGACAGCTGGTCCCCCGACATGTCCCAAGAGAAACCCTCACATGGACACCCAAGTGGTGTACATGCACAGCCACTCACCGGCACACTCTTTGTGAAATTAATAAACGATGAATAGAGAAGAAAGAGCATCCACCCAGACGTCCATGACGGATAGCTGGGTAGGAACACCAGCACCGTGTGAAAGGAGGGAGGCGATAATAACTGCTACTGTCAAACACTGACACAGTGCTTCTAGGGAAGGGTGTGTGAACGTAAGGACCCGTCACAACTGTCCTGCTGACACACGCCACTGCCACATCCTTCCAGACACAGGTCAACTAGGGACAGGAAGGCGAAATAATTTGCCCGAAATAAGGTGGCCAGTACGTGGCAGAGCCGCCCTGGAGGAGCTTCAGCAGCCACGTTCACAGCCACGGGGGCACAGGTCCTGACAAGGGCCTGGATCCAGAGATTTTGTTGAGATTAAAACACAGCAAAGAATAGCAAAAGAAGTGTGGGACGATAGAGGTTAAAGCAACAAGCATGAACTAAGTCTGTGTATTTCCTGCATGTTTGTCTTACAATACGAGAAGACAAAACACACACAAATGAGTGTGTAGTCATGTATGTGTCCTGGAAAGTACTGGGCACCCACAAAAGCGCTAACTGTGCCTGCTTCTGGAAAAGAGCCCAGGACAGGGGAGCGGGGAGGCGTGAAGGGTGAGTTGCTCTGATCCCGTATGTTGGACTTGCCTCAGCAGGTCTTCCACACTCCGGCCCGCACTATTCCCCAGCCGAAGAGAAATCTTCGGCACTTGAAGAACAGAGTCCTTCCCACACCAAGAACATCGCCCTTCTTTCCCAGCAGTTGAAGGCACTTTCACTGTCCACTGTTCGACACATTCACAGAATGAAATCCGAGTTCATTTTTGCAACTAGACATAATCACTACTTCGGGACCCAAGGCAGGATGAAATTTAGCAAACATATAAACAATTAAAATTGCAATTGCATGACTTCCTGGAGAACCCAGAGTAACTAAAATGGAGAGAACCCGATTAAGGAATTTTGCACAGCTCGTGGGAGATCTACAACCAACAGGCAGTTGCTGGTGCTGTGGCACAGTGGCTTAAGCTCTCATCTGCAAGTGCCAGAATCACATAGGACACCAATTTGAGTCCCTGCTGTTCCACTTACAACCCAGCCCCCTGCCAAAGTGCCTGGAAGGGCAGCAGAATAGCCCAAGTGGGTAGAAGCCCAATGGTTTCTGCAACCACATGCGAGACCTGGAAGAAGCTCCTGGCTCCTGGTATTGGATTGGCCCAGCCTGGGCTATTACAGACATTTGGAAAGTGAATCATCAATTGGAAGATCTCTCTGTCCCCACTTCTCTCTCTCTCTCTCTCTCTCTCTCTCTCTCTCTCTCTCTCTCTCTCTTTCTGGCAGCCCACCAGTGCACAGGCTGATTCTACAAGGTCAGGCACTGGAGTCCATTCCTGATTTGCCATAACACTCAGGAATCACTCATTCTTGGCTAGCAAACTTGTTGGTTATATGTGCACAGCTTGTCGTTTGGACAGGGGGCATGCAGTTATCTTTAGAGAGATGCAGAAATGCAATCCGTGGTCATTCTGTGCAAAGATGGGTAACCTTTAAACCTTCCTCTCCTAGACACTGAAGTATGTGTCCTTTGTGGATGAACCCCACATTCTGATGGTGGACAAGCAGCTGCTGGGGAAAAGCCTGCAGGATGCCAAGGGCCAAGAAATCCCAGTGAGTTACAATCTTTGTTATAGTTAAATATAAACTTACCTAGAAATATGTACAAGTTCTAATTGATGAATATGAGCAAAGTCACAGAGTTATGCTTCTCAAGCCAGATGGAGAAACTGGAATATCGCTTGATGACTCTGTCCAGTCAGTACCCTCCCTTGAGGCTCCCAGCCTGCTCCACACGGGGAGGTTTGGAAGAAAGCCAGTGAGGCAGGGCTTTTGTTCAGGCCACTGAAAGGCTTCCGTGAGGGATGCAGACATGTGAGCCTTGCTGGGCTGGGTCTTGCCTCATCGCAGTTCTTGGCAATCAGATGTAAGTCACCATATAATGTCTTAACAAGTCATTGCTATCCTGTACCCAAGCATCAATTTTACTCCTTCTAGAACTCCATGCCAACAGAGCCCTGAGCGACATTCCACATTTACTCTGCGGAGTGTCTGGGTCCTTTCAGTCCATGTTACTCCTGTGTGCTGCTCACGACATTGTGGGCAGCAAGAGCTCATTCTCTTTGCAGTAGTTTGTACATGTCCAATGTATGCACCCACTCTACAGCTGAGAGACAAGTGAGTTGTTTCTGGCTGCAAACTACAGCCAGAAATGTCGGAAGGAAACACAGGGCAGCCTGCTGCGCCACGGCCTGCTGGGCCATGGCCTACAAGTGCCGCTGACTCAGTAGCCGTACATAGTGACAGCACTCCACCACGTACCGGTCACTTTCGCAGCCCATCTTTACCATTCGTTTCTTTGGGCTGCACGTCCTATTCACTGGATGCTTCCAAACAGATCAGTACTGACCACAGTTCTGAAAAGTACAAGTCTGAACTAGCCCCTGCTCTTACAGCCCTGAGGGGAGTAAACCTGCAGATGAAAGCACTCTGTATCTCCCTCCCTTCCCTTCTTGTCCCTCTGCCTTTTAAATAAATGCAAAAAATCTTAAAAAAAAATTAATTTGGGACCAGCGTGGTGGCCTACCATGCTAATCCTCTGCCTGCAGCATTGGCATGCTATATGGATGCTGGTTCAAGACCCGACTGCTCCACTTTGGATCCAGCTTCCTGCTTATGCCCTAGGAAAGCAGTGGAAGATGGCCCAGGTGCTTGGGTCCCTGCGTGCATTTGGGAGATCCAGAAAGAGCTCCCGACTCCTGATCAGCTCAGCTCTGGCAGTTCTGGCCACTCAAGGAGTAAGCCAGAGGATGGGAGATCTTTCTCCCTCTCCTTCTCTCTCCATAAAATCTGTCTTTTGAGCACAAATAAATCAGTAATAATAATAATAATGTGTAGACTAAAGGGTAGGAAAGAGAGAGGGAGAGAGAAAGATCACACTCTCTGATTTACTCCTCAAATGCCCATCTCAATGTGGGCTGGGCAGGGCTGAAGAAAGGCACCAAGTATCCCATGTGGGGGCAGGGACCCGATTATCTGAACCACAGCCACTGCCTCCCAGGGTCCACATGAGCAGGGAGCTGGACTGGAGAGGGGGCAGCCAGGACTGGAACTGGCGCCCACACGGGATGCCGGCATCACAGGTAGCTGCCTCACGTGCTACACCACACCACAGGCTCCCCAACAGGCTCGTGCTAAGTTCCTTCTCAGAGAACTATCGCTGGCATTCACACTGTGAGCCTGCTCAGTGTTCACATGCAGAACCGCCAGCAGAGGGAGCCCGGCAGGCCAGGAGAGGGCAGGACCTAGGCAGCAGTGCGGCCACCTGCGTGTTGGGCCCTGGTGCTACACAGAGGTTCTCTGTGTGAGTGTGGAGGGAGAATCATCACCAGGCAAACACGCAGATCCATAAGATCATTTCAGATGGTGACAAGTTCCACACAGCATGTAAAGTGCTGTGGCATGCTAACACAATTGCCTGGGAGAGGTGGGGGAGCAGCCAGCTGGGTGAGCCAGGACTTTTTGAAAGGTCATTTTCAAAATCCTTAAGACAAAGACAAGGACAGCTATTGCAGGAGCTTTTCTGAACGCTTAAAGGAGACGGTGCTTGTGAGTCGCAAGCGTCTTGCACGTATGCTCAGCAAATGGAAGTCACCCACGTTGGCCCATACTCAGTGTAATCCTGTGAGCTAACACGGTAGTGGATTAGGGAGTCCCAGGGTCAACCCTGCTGATGGGCTGGGAAATTGGACTTTTGCAGAGACCGCCACTGGACTTCACAGACTTGTCCAGGTTGCCTGTGTCATTCTTGGACCCGTTCCCGAGCCCTGGAGACATGGCAGAAATGCAGCCATTTAGTCCTGGAGACGCGGCAGAAATGCAGCCATTTCTCAAAGAGGCGGCTGCCAGGCCCAAGGAGAGCCCAGGCTGGTGCCAGTGCGGGAGGTGCCTGCCCTCCCGCCTCTCGGAGAACCGCCGCTGTCTGGAGGAGCTGTGCTGCCGCCGGAAGCCGGGGGCCTGCATCACCACCTCCGAGCTCTTTGAGAAGCTGGTGCTCTCCAAGCCCACCCTGCAGTTCCTCCTGCTCTACCAGGAGCCCCTGCTGGCGCTGGACCCGGAGGCCACCAACAGCCGCCTGCGACGCTGCGCCTACCGGTGTTACATCGCCTGGCGCTTCGGCTCCCAGGATCTGGCAGACTTCGCCATCCTGCCCAGCTGCTGTCGCTGGCAGATCCGCAAGGCGTTTCCCAAGAGTGGGGCGCAATATGGTGGCTTCAGGAGCCCCTACTGACTACGCACAGGCTGGCTGACCTTTCTCTCCCACAGCTCCAAGCAGCCCCCACTCCGGGTCATCAACCACAGACTGAAAGTACTTGGCAGGGGGAAAAAAAGGTTCCAGAAAGTTTCCCCAAAAACGAGATTTGAACTTGCTGTACACTGAACACCACGTTCAGGCCCTGTACTGTGTATTACAAGTAGTTTAAAGCCCAGGGAAGGATGTGCATAGATTATACCCAGATACCACATGTTTTTAAGACAGAGACTTCGATGCCTGAGGGGGCAACCCCCAAAATATGCATGTGTCAGGCAGCACAGTAGCCTGGTCAAACCCAGCAGCCTGCCAGAATTTCTCTGCAGGGGCCAGATTTCTGTCTCGAAGCTTTCCCCAGGATGCTGGGTGACCCTAGTTCTGGAATCTTGGGCTCCTCAAAGAGACGGGTGAGGACTAACAAACACAGCCTCCACGTGTGGTCCCACGGACAAGCACGCTAAGCATCTCCTTATGGGACCCGACACCTGCTTAAGACCCAGTATTCCTGTCTAGCTGCCAGTTTAAGACCTTGATGAAGAATTCTGGCCAGGAAACCTCAAAGTCTACCAAACATCCCAGCAGGAAGGAGGTCCCAAGGCAGCCACGGGAGTTTCAACAGCCATCTGGGCCATTGCTGAACACGGAACAAAGGCAGCCTTGGGCCTGACTGCAGACCCTGCTAACACAGGACTGAGACTGCACATGTCACCCAGGCACAAACCTCCCCGAGAACCAAGTGGCTGCCTTCTGTCACTGAGCTTGGGGCTTGCTCATCACCCAGAGCAAGCCTGAAATGGAAACCATCCCTTCTTTGGTTCTGAGATTCTCAGGAAGCCCGTGCATTCCCAGAGTTCCTCAGGAGCCCAGGTCTCTACAGAACACTCTAGAAGGGCTGGACAGTGCATTCCAGCCCACATCACAAGGCCATGACTGGAAGTGACGGTGCTGTTCTGAACCAGGATGTGCCAGTCCCATCCTGTCCTTTGCAGCCAGCCTGGACGCGATGTCACCAGCAGCCCACACACAGACCTCCTTCCTCTGTGCCCGCGGGCCGCTGGGAAGCCGAGTCACGGGTCAGAGGGTCCAGCTGCCGAGTGCCTTCTCGTGGTGGTCCCACTGCTCAATTATGTGACTGCCAAAGGATCTGTGAGTTCATATATACATTCCAACATGGCCCAACTTTGACACCAGCAGCTTTCTAGGCCTGTACTGATGTCAGTCATGAATACAATATAAAAATCACACACTTCACACATTTTACAACCTTCTTCTCTTGACCCCAGGTTCCATCTGGCCTTCAACTCAGGAAGCAAGCTAATGGTGCCAGATGCAACTTCCATGTCCGTTACCTTTTCACAGACAACGTCTGAGCAGTCGGTTCTGTGTGACTTTTCAGAACTGCACATGCTAAGCTCTCCACGTTTCAGCTGAGGACTCTACACTGGCACGCCAGGCACCTCTGTCGCGTGTGAGGGCTGGTTTAGAGTCAAGATCAGAATTTAGGAATGACAATAATCACTTACTCCCTTCCCTCCCGCACCTGCCCAGGCTGTTCCTGGCGACAGCTGCCTGTGTGACGTCAGACACTCCCTCAACAACCATGTCTGCATCCTTGTTTTTCACACTGACTGCATGGAACAGCGACCCTGGCAGAGGCGGTCACAGGTACTCTGTGTAGGAGTGGTTTTCTTGGACTTAGAGTCACTTCCTACCAGAGTAACTGCCCAGGATTGGTGGCTTTGTCCCCGTTTCAGAAGAGGCCTTGCTTTCTGGCCGTGGACTTGCACTTCTCTCTTTAAAGAAACTAGTTTTTTTTAAAAAACCTTTATACTTCTCACTTGGCAATAGGGGTGTTTTTGCTTAGCTCTGCTGTTTGGACAATAAAAAAAAAAAACTGATGGCTAACTTGCCTTCCTGTTCCCATCACTTCCTTTTTCCAGATGGTCTCCAAATCATGACTGACTCAGTCCCTGCACTTTCTTTCAACACGTACTCCCTGGAGGCCAATGAGAAACAAGGCAGCTGCTCTCGGGGCTGGGGGTGGGGTTTGAGGAGATGAACACAAATCAAGTAATCTGAGCAAATGTCAGCTCGCAACTTAGGATGCGCGCCCGGAGAAGGCAGCAGCAGGTACCCTGGGAGCCTGTGATAGAGGAACGTCATCCATTCGAGTTGCTCAGAGAGGTTCCCCCAAAGGAATACTTCAGCCACAATCCACACAGTAAGTCCCAGTAAACTGGGTAGACAGGGAAGGGAAGAATGTTCTAGGTGTGGTAGGTTAAGTCGCCGCATGGAGTGTCTGCCTTCCATAGCGGAGTGCCTGGTTCAAGGCCCAGCTACTTCACCTGCAGCTTCCCGGGAGGCACAAGATGATGGTTTGATGATGGTTCAAGTAGTTGGGTCCCTGCCACCCATGTGGGAGACCAGAATTTAACTCCTGGCTCAGCTCTGGCTGTTACGGGCATCTGAGGAGCACGCCAGTGGATGGAAGACCTTTGTCTTTCAAAGACATAAAAATGTAAAAAAACAGGTACTTTCAAAAACTAAAGATCCCTCTGCTTGCTGTGTCAAAGTGCACTAGGAGTAGCTGTAGGTGGTTTTCGTTTCCGGCTTTCCCTACTCGGTGAAACATCTGCTCAGAATATGCACCACGTGGACTGATTCTCCTCTCTCAGTTCCTCGTGGGAAGTCACAAAAGGAGGAACTTCCCAGCACTCTTTGGTTTTGAGAATATCCCAGTCCCAAGGGGCAGCAGGCATGAAAACACTTGCCCAGCTTCAGGCTAAGGCTGGTGCAACAGCAATGGAGACAGGTGTTTGTTCTAGCCGTCCAATCACCAGCTGGAACACCCACATCCCATACGGGCATGCCTCCGAGTCCTGGCTCCACTGATCCTAGCATCCTGCTAAGGTGCACCATGGGGAGACGGCCCACTAAGTCCACCACCCTTGTAGGGGATCAGATATAGTTCCTGGCTCTATCACAAGCATTTGGAGAGTCTCCCCTTCCTGTTAGTAAAGATATTGATTAAAAATGAAAGCAAAGCAACTGAGTGATTTCTGAGAGGGGGCAGGAACGTCCGTCAGGGAAATGGCATTCACTTTGAATCCGAGTGCCAAGGAGTAGGCCGTGAGGAGCTGGGGGAAGGGCCTCCAGGAGAGAGGGCCAGCAGGGACTCAGTGAGGGAGGTTATGCTCCAGCCGTGGGGCCCTGCAGCCAGCACGACTGGGACCTGCCTTCTAGGCCCATCTGGTGAGGGACACAGGCTGGGCCTTACTGCCTCACACGGTGTGTCGCCCCAAGTCATAGAACCACAGCACCAGGAACAGTCTTTGGGGCTTTAGACCATCCCCAAGATGTAAGTGGATCCCTGAGACAGAAAGGAACAGGACACACTGGGTAGGATGAAAAGAAGTGGCCCCCATAGCTGTAGCAGCACAAGCCAGGCCCAGGAAGCCATGAGCATGACACCTGCTGACATCCACACCTGACTGGCTCCAGACTCATAAAGATCCTCCCGGCGGTGATCTAGGGGAACCTTAAAGTTGACCTTAAGATGCAAGGTCAAGATGGACTAGTTCCCATGCTGAGCAGGGACAAGAACAAAGCAAAGATTGAAACATGTCCATGGATCAGGTGGGAGGGGGTATCCCGGAGAACAGTCAGCATTCAGATGCCCACATGTCTTATACTGAGGGACGCTGGGGGCCTACTTAGCTGGTGGAGGTCACAGAGAAAGGAAAGAACTCATAAAAATTCCTTTCAGTCCAACACACTAAGGAGGCTGCTCAAATACATTATGATACAAGAGCATGGACAGAAGAGTTTGCGGCTATTACACTGGTGTCGTGGGGGCGGAGTTAAGCCACGGCTTAGGATGCCAATATCCCATTTGAGGTACAGGTTCAAGTTCCAGCTACTCCATGTCCTAACCAGCTCCCTCTAATGCATGCTAGGAAGTAGTAGGTGTTTAGGTCATTGACATCTAGATGGAGCTCCTGGCTCCTGGCTTCAGCCTGGACCAGCCCTGGTTATTGCAGGTATTTGTAGAGTGAACCAGCAGATAGAAGCAATTAGTCAATCTCACGATCTCTCTCGCTCTCTTTCAAATAAATAAAACTTTATATGTATTATGTATAACAAAACTTAGAAAACATATAAATATATATGGAGTTGGCAGTGTGGTACGGTAGGTTAAGCCACCCCTTGTAAGGTTGACATCCCATTTGGGTACCACTTTGGAGTCCCTGCTAATGTGCCTAGGAAAGGCTGTGGAAGATAGCCCAAGTCCTTGGGCCTCTGCCATCCACATGGGAGACCCCGATGACGTTCCAGGCTGCTGGCTTCAGCTTGGTCCAGCCCAGCCAGTGCAGAACCAGCAGGTGAAAGCTTGTTCTCTCTGTAACTCAAATCTTTAAAAAGAGAGACATACTTTGGGTGATGGGAGCATAGTCCTGTCACTTTTTTGTTCTGAGTCTCAGACTTGCTCATACAAATGCAGGTAAGGCCCAGCAGGTGGACAGAAACCTCCCTGCTGGCTCTCTCTGGGTGGAACTGGAGGCCTTCACCTCGCGAGAGGCATTCCCTCAGCTGTCACCACACACTTGCTACTGTCACTGTGACAGACTACAGCCCGACTATTTTACTCATGAAGGGTTTTTGGTTTGTTTGAGTAATTTGAAAATGCACTAAATTCTTCAGGGTTGTAATTATCACCTTTATCCAAGGAGAACTATACTTTGTTTTCTTCAAATCCTGAATCTAGGAAATTGACTTAAATTGGAAAAAACACTGGGTAGAGAACAGTGTCTGACTTCAGAAAATCACTGCATAGACAGTAATGTAATCTGTGATACCTGACTTATCAAAAAGGAAAATTTTTACCAGTTAAACCTGTAGATATTAAGTACAAACACATAGCACATTTAGTGTTCCTTTTAACTAACCTATGCATTGGGCCACAGCTCACATTGTCCCCACCATTCGAGGGGGAGACCGAGATGGGGTTCGCGGCTCTGTGTTTGGGCCTGGGTCCGGCCAGGCATTTGTCTCTCCTAACACTCTTCAAATAAATAATTTTCAAAAATACTGT